GTGTATTTCCTGGACTACGCGCATCTTTCCTCCTACTCTTTGCAGGGCTTCTCTGGTCCTATTAACGCAGCTACAATTGAGGGCATGCAGGAGAAGAGACTGACTTACGCAGTCTGTGTGGGAGAAGCTGCCGCTGGGGTTAGTCTTGCAGGCTTTCGCTAAGGAGTCCACACAATGCTGGAGTGGCAGCTGTCTGGGACCCCCTCCTGGTGACTCACTTCAGGAGAAGCACAGAGGCAGGAAGGAAGGGGGACGAGAAGCAGGAACACAAGGAGGACAGAGGGTGAGAAGCAACGGTAGAATTAAAACAGTCAAAAGGACAAGGGAAACGGGTATGAAAGAGGTAGATAACAGTTTGCAGAAGTTTTGGAGGAGGTGGGGTCTTCACCTGGGGGCCTGCTGCAGACCACAAACCAGTACTGGGAGCAGGGAGGTGCAATTTCAAGGCTAACCCCACCAGTAGGTTCATTACCTCTGGTGCGCACATCCTTGGCATGACGGTGTTTTCTCAACAGCATTTTGGGAACGTTGTTGGCCACCCTGCAGAACATCCGCAAGCCGGCCAAGGGGATGCCCGCAGGGGATCAAGACCAGGCTTTTAGTTCCTCTCAGAGGAGCAGGCCTGGCTGCCCTCCAAACCCTTCGCTAGTGCGCCAGGAAGTTCAATGCATATCGGAAGGAGGTGCTTGGAAGCCTTCACTCTGGGACCATCTGGGTGTCTGTGGTCAAAGCTCCCAGTCCTTTTAACTCCATAGCAGCTGCCTGCCACTGGGGTGAAAAGGGGGTCTCTAAAGCCACAAACATGTCTAATTTCAAATCCACAAGAAGCTCCTGCTAACGTTAGCAGCCTTGCATGAATAAGGTGCAAGGAGGCAGAGCCTGCGATTTCAATCACTGGTTTCAAGTACAGCCTGTTTTTGCTTAAAGCCCCAGCTCCGGGGCAGATGCGGGCCTCAGCTCTCCTTTTAGATTACAGGGGTGCAGGCACAAGCCGGCACACAGGGGTTGTGGGCAGCAATAGGGGAAGGGCAAATAAAGAAGCTGATGTTCATAATCGGTGGCCGTCTCCTGAGTACTCAGGACACGATCCATGATTGGGGCAAATGTCACAAAGGGAACTTGAGTGCAGACAAAGCACTGGGAAGCTCTAGGGAACGTGGTTCAATTTCCACCAAAGCATCAAAATGTAGTGGGGACAGGGCACGTCCTTCAGAAACCTGCGGTTCCTCCACTCCCAAGCAGCGCAGCATGGATACTGGGCAGCTGGTTGCGGAGGGAGGGAGGAACGGGCTGGAAACATGACCTTTGGCTTTACAAACCCAACCAAACGGGGCTCAATTTCACTAACCCCACCAAAACCAGCAGGGTCCGGGTGGGTGGCCCCTGAAGGACCTTCTCCCTAGTTGCAAGGCCTAAACAGAAACACTCTGGGGCGGGTGCGCGTCATTCCAGCTTCGGGGCGAGTTGAGCTGAGCTGGACCTCCGGTGGGTGGCTTCCAGCAGGCAGACCGCCCAGCCCGGCATCTCGGCTATATGCCACCCCCCCGCCTCCAGCAACAGTGCCCACCTGCTTGTCATGATGGTACAGCGAAGCCAGCGTGTACGGCAGGATCTGGAGCGCAGAGAAGGTGAAGCCCGTCAAGGCGGCCGAGAGGGTGACGATGAGGACGCTGCGGGAAAGGCACACGACGAAGGCAGCCACGGGGAAGAAGGCCACGCTGGCCAGGTAGACCGCCCGCGTCCCAAACTGCTTCACCATGCGGTCCATGATTGTCGAGAAGAAAGTGGAGGTGACGCACTGCAGGAAGAGGCCCAGGCTGCCCATGCGCACACCTGGGAACAGACATGTGGGGAGGGTGGTGGAGACGCACAGCACAGCGTACCCTCCCTGAGCCTGCCTGGCTTGCAGAAAGCCAGATGGCTCCGGGGCTCCCTTCCTTCCCCCCCAGTGCCCCAATTCTGGAGGGCAATGGCAGGCTGAGGGCCTTTCTGCATTGCTCCGCAGAGGCTGGCCCATGCCAGCACAAGATCATGACAACCCAGGGACCAGAGTGCAAGCTTCCAGCAGAGAGGAGGGATGGGACAGGCAGGTGAACAAGGCAGCTCACCCTGCCCGCTTCCAGAGCCCATTCAGCTCTCAGGCTCTCTGCTGAGGCTGCTGGTAAGGGATCCCCTGCTAATGCCACTGAGACCCCAACCTGCTCATGAGGGAAAGGGAGTATTTCCCCAACAGAGAAGCAGCTGCTGGGCACCCACAGGCCCCACTGAAAGGCAATGCGAGCTGGGTGCATAATTCCCATCCCTGCCTTTGAGAAACTCCCCTGAAAATCTCTCCTTGGAATCCCTCCATGGCCTGTGCACGAACCAGGATGTGGTATCAGATCCAAAAGCAGCAACAAAACCCAAGGAACAAAGAGTGGGTTTAAGTTGGTGAGAAAACCCAGGTGCTGGCACAGGGCGAGACATCCGCTTGCCTCTCTGCACGTCCAGCCTGGACCTCTCTCTTGGCAGAGGCATGTGGGATTACAGGTACCTCCACCATTAACTCTTTGGAGCAGGGACGCTCACTGCCCTGGGTGTAGCACAGTGGGGCCCAGAAACAGCTATTGCAGCATCAGCGTTAAATCAGAATTAAGCTCCGAGATGAACAGACATTCATACGGGACAGAGAGACAGTGCGTGGGCCGTGCAAAGAGGGTGCCCAGCCAGGGGGACATCCTTAGTGCAGCCTGGCTCCTTACAGTCCTGCTTGCCCTCGGCGCTCCAAGTGGCGAGCAAACATTTGCCCCCAGTGGTTTACAGAAGGGGAAAGTGAGGTGAAGCAGCGGTGGAGGGAACTGAGGAGATGCAGCATGCTATCTGCTGGACCACTTTGCCTCTCCAGAAACCAGGCACCAGTCGGTGCCCCCTTCCATGCAGCTCTGCTGCTCCGGTCAACAGTGCAGAGGACAATCCTGCCATAACGTTCCCTGCCTAGCGAGTTCCTGGCTCCATGTTATCTCTGCAGGATGCTGAAGCCAGCAGCCCTCTTGCCCTTTTTATCTGTGCTTGCAAAGCTAACAGTGTTTTCAGGGATTCACTGCAGTTCCCACGGCTGGAGGGGGAGGGACCCTCCTCTGCACGTTGCTCTGAACGTGCTGTCCCTTAACCCCATTTCCCGGGAGTTTGCACAAGGCAGACGGTCGGCACACTGATCTTTGCTGAACTTCAGAAATACCCCTGACTACCCCCTCAGTGCCAGGGAGGCTCAGGCAGTAAACAAAGGCCGTCACGGTTTGGATGTGGCTGTAGCTCCCCGGCACAGAGGGATGTGGGGTGCTATAATGGAGGGTTTTTTCACCGGTAGGAGGAACTCCAGTTCATCCTACCGGTGCCTGGGAGCTGGAGAGGGACACACAAGAAGGTCATCTGACCCCAGCACTCTTCCCTGCCATGGCAGGGGGTCGGACTCAATGATCTGCTCAGGTCCCTTCCGACCCTACTGACTATGAAACGATGAAGAACGTTGGTTCGATCTTGCAAGCCCTAAGGAGAGCAAACCTGGCTCTCAGCTCCACTCACCACCTCTGTGTGGCAATTTCAACAGGTGCGAAATGAGAGAAGCCATTTACCCAACTCTGAGATCTGGGAACAAAAGATGCTATGAAGCATTAATTAGACCTGCCTCTCAAGTGGGGAGGCTTGCATAGGTGATTTTGGACTGGGAGATTCCCGCGCCAATTAGAGACCCCTGGAAACAACGCTGACCATAGAGCCCCTCTCCAACCCCGTCTAAACGGGTCCGCTCTCCCACCCTCGACCACGAGGGCAGTCGGCTCATTTCCTACCTTCGTCATAGTGACGTCTGGCTTCCGTGCCTGGCTTGGCCCTGGGAACCCCCTGGTACAGCCTTTCCCCAACGAAGTCCGTGTAGAACAACGTGAAAGTCATGAAGGCCATCCAGCTGCACAGCTCAGCCACAAAGAGCCGCTGGACCACCTTGGGGATGCGGCAGCAGAGGCCGTGCAGCCGCGGGACCAAGGTGCAGAGGTTCCTCGCGGCTTGCACCACGTGCCTCGCTTGCAGGAGGCTCTTGGAGACCCGGCAAGAGCAGCAGCTGGGAGACGAGGGCCTGGGGGAAGAGTCCTTCAGCGCAGGACCCATCAGAGCATCCGTCCGTGCTGCTGCCTCCTCGGTCACAAAGAGGGTGGCCAGGACGCAACCGAGGAAGATGATGGCAAGGAGGCTGAAGAGGCACTTCTCCTGTCCCCCCAGGTAAGGGGCCAGGAAGCTACTGTCCCAGTCAATGGCTGGAAGCAGGTAGCCGATGCAGCCGCCCAGGCTGACCATGAAGGCGTACATGGAGAAGGCCTGCCGGCAGTTGTCAGGCTCCTGGAAGAGGTCCGAGAGCAAGGCCTCCAAGGGAGTGAAGCAGACCTGGCCGCAGAAGTCCAGCAAGCCAATGCCTAGGATGAGGAAGGTGATTTCCAGGGGGCGAGCGTCGAGGGCAAAGAGGCCTGCCAGGTGGGTGGCGTGGGGGATGGTGAAGAGGCTCAGCAGGACCCCCAGGCACAGGACCCAGATGAAAGGCCGCCGTCGGCCATAGCTGCTCTGCCAGTGGTCGCTGGCGGATCCGATCAGCGGGACGAAGACCAGGCCAAGGACAGGCCCTATCCCTGGAACGGAGACAGGCACAATGTTACAGAGGAGCACGTGGGCATGGGATCAGCGCTGCGTTAAGAGCCCGGGTGAGAGGCAGGGTCAAAGTTTTCACAAGTGACTAGCAACTATAGGAGCCTGAGTGATAAGGGACGCTTTAAAAGATGCCCCCAATTGCCAGGAGAGGCTGAGCGCTCATTTTCTGAAAACGCGGCCCCTTCAAAGGGTCTCGGGTTCGGAGTCTGCCATCATTAGTCACGTGTGAAAAAACCCTGGCCACAATTTCTCCCTCCCTCCCAAGCAGAGTTGCTTGTACCCCGGAAACCAGCCACAACCCCACCGCAACCTCTCCTCCTTGCAGTTTATTAACAGCGTGACCCAACAGCAGTCCTCCATGGAAGGCCACACTTTGCAGGCCTGAAACCCCAGTCCTTGAGGGACTACTGTCCCTGTTTTAGAGAAGTGGGATGGAGGCAGGGAAATTTGCATGGCAGAGACAGGAGTATAACCCCAGAGTCCTGGCTCCCGGTGCCCTGCTCTAAATGACTCTTTCCCTACAACGAAGCAGTCTCAGCTGACAGCAGGATGCAGAGGAGCAAACTTCTGCTTCCCGATCTCCCCTGCCCTCACAAACTGCAGGAAGGGTTTGCCCCTCTGGGAGAGTAAGAAGCCACCTACCCAAAACCATGGTCATGAACTTCTCCTCCACACCCACTTCCAGCAAGAGTGGGGGCACGTAGGTGATCCCGGCAGCCAGGCAGACCTCCAGCCCGAACGTCAGCGAGTTGACTAGCAAGAGCTGAGCCCTGCGGCTGTGGAACAGCATGCTGACCCACGCTTTCTGAGCCATGCTGCCCCGTGCTCCTTAGTTTTAGACGGCTACGGCAAGAGGACAGCAGCGTTGCAGCCGGCATTCCCCACAGCCAGACCCTAAGGTCTGGGGTCTCCCTTCCAGGTCCAGCAGGGAGACGCTGGCTGCCATTTCCGTCAGCAGCAATCAAGCCGTCGCTCCTTCTGCCTTCTCGTGCAAGATGTGGTCACGGCAGTGCAGAGTCCAGGCTCAGGTGGGCCAGCTTCAGACTCCAGGTCTCTCCCTCTGCTTTACGCTCTGCACTGTGGAGAAGGGAGAGAGGTCATTGGAAAGGACAGCCATCTGCAGATCACCTATGCGAGTTCTTCCTAAGGGGCCCGAAGCCACAGAGCGAGTTCCTCGCACCCCTGAAGCACCACAGCGAAAGGAAAAACCTCGTGCACAGGGATGTCCTGGACAGCGATCCCCAGTGTGCAGATTACAAGGACTGGCCTTTGCTGGCAGCATCACTTCTCCAAGGTCACGGGGCCAGGTTCACAGAGCCGCCAACCCCTGTCACTGTCACTCACTCCCCCTATTCCTCTCTCCATCGTTTGCTCGGTAGCGGCACCCACTGCTGCGCAAACACAGCACAATCCTCAGAGAGGGTCCCTGCCCCAAAGAACTTGCATCTAAACTCATTTCTTTAGGTCCCAAACACAGCATTAGCCACCAAGCCCTCTCGTTCCCACGCTTGGGCAGCGTGGCCTCTGTTTTCACCCATGCCACTTCCGCACCTCTCTCGAGCAGTAGGTGCAGCTCAGCAGCTCCGATGAAGCCTCCTTTGTTTCACAGACAAACCTGACCCAGTTTAACCCAGTGCACGGCAATTACCTTAATCACGAGTACGACATCTGAGCCGACATCGCCCTCTGAGTCACCTGTTTTCTGCGTCTTCTCTCATGTGCCAGAGCGATCGCAATGGAGATGGGCACTTGAACACCCCTGGAAGGTCTCATGGCAAAGTTGCTAGCTACATGCCTATGTGACCCTTACCAGGGTGGCATAAGGTCTGCTGAATATTTACTCGGGCATCACAGCACTCAGGGGGATGTGGGTATAATAGCTCTCCAGGTCATACAAGGCATACAAGGTTGAGTGGCCTACCCAAGCAACACCCCAGGGAGTTTACACCAGAGCTGGGCGTCGACCCAGGCGTCCCCAGGAGACCAAGGAGTGTTGAAAAGACCCAGTGAAGAATTACCCCTGGAAGAAGCAGAGGTAAACTCCACTGCTTTAGGTGCCATCTGCCCACACCAGTCCCAGGGTAACTGCTTGCAGGCTATAACCTGCTCCCTTACCACCTAGCATGAGACACAGCAATAGCCTCCTCCTCCGGGAGCGACTCCAGGGTGGCTTCACATCTGCCCTTTCCAGATCGTGGTCATTTATAGCAGCTGAGGCTTCCTCTATTTCAGAGGTGTCAGAGAGATGGCCCGCTGGGCAGATCCCATCCACGGAGCCTTATGATCCGGCCTGCAGCCGGTCCCAGCCCCCGGTAGCCTGCAGAGCAACCGGGGAAGAGGCTGGTCTTTCACCCCTCCTCACTTCCTGGGTTCTCTCCATTAAGTCTCATTTGCCAAAAAGAGGGAATGGAGTCCAGAAGCGTCTCTGAGGTCAACGCTTGTCCCGAATTCAGCTTCCCAACAAAACAAGACCACGTCTGGCCCCTTTCAGGCCACGTTTCTGGGTGGCAGGGGGAAGGAGAAAAGCAGCTCATTCCAGCGCTGTGCTGGGCAGCCAGGCTGCTGCCCCGTGTTTGCAAAGGATCACCTTGCAGCGGGGGGCACGGGTCCTGGGTAAAACCCCGTGCATGAAACTGCCCCATGGTGCTCTCCCTTCGCACATCCATGCTGCCCATCCACCTGCAACTTCAGAGTCCCTGGGCAAGCGCTACAGACTAGACACCTTTTTTGGATAATGGGGCCAGAAGAGCCACCAGCCCTGGGGATGCCCTGATAAAGCTTTACAGCTGCGCAAACGTCATTTCCAGCTTCTCCTTGCCACTGAAGGAGGAGCCTCTTCTCGCAAGCTAGGTTCAAAACGCCGGAGGTGGACTCAATCTAAGTAACGCGGCATAGTTTAGATTGGCAGCAAACAAACCACGCATTCGCCCTTTGGTGAAGGGGTCACGTCTTAGACCGGGTTCTGCCACGTTTACACCAGTCTGCATGCCGAACTCCTGTTCTGTCGCAGGTACAGACCAGTCTGTGCGCACCGAACTCCTGCTGTTATGAGCATAGACTGGTTTACAGTCACTTACACCAGTAAAAGTGATGTCTGTACCTAGCCCCAGGGTTAAGAAGTTTGCGGGCTGTCATTTACATCCTACTCATAATTAACACCAAGTGCTCTCTCCCCTCTCCCGGATCTCTCCTGACTCACCCGCCAGCCCCCACGCCTCCCCAGGGTTTCACGAGTTTTATATTCTATCGTTATTTTCCATGAGCTTTCTTCGAAAATTATACAGGAGGATGACCCAGACTGCCCCAGGATGACAGAGAGAAATAGAAAGACCCGCACCGTGTGCTGAGAGCAGGTCGACTGCTCTGCTTTGGGGCGGGAAGTGAGGCACCGCACCTAGCAAGGGACCCCCATGGGTAGACCCCATGCTCACGCGGATCCCTTGAGTGCAGGGGGGATCCCACCTGGGGGTAAGGGTGCTCCCATCTACAGCCACCATAACCCAGGGCTTCAGTGCTTGCCTCCAACACCTCTCAACATTAGCCTCTTTTCAGAGTTTCAGAGTTTCTAGGGTCGGAGGGGACCTGAGCAGTTCATCGAGTCCGACCCCCTGCCATGGCAGGAAAGAGCACTGGGGTCAAACGACAGATAAACGGAGACATACGCAGAGAGGCTGTACATGACTGGCCTGAAGTCAAGCAGCAAGTTAGCTGGGAATAAAATCTCAATGTCTTGCTCTAACAACTAGACAATGCTTCCTAAAAGGGGAAAATCCAACAGCTCCTCGGGATGGGATATGCCGAACGTGTCGGAGACAGACAAGCAACCCTAACACCTGTGGCAGAAATACGACCCGCTCAGATGTAAGGCCCCAGGCCGAGCTCTGCGCCTTTGCGACGGGCAGCATTGGGACCAAAGCCCTCGACGGCCAACAGCAAGAGCCAGGCTCCCACGCTGCAAGTTGGGACAGGCTCGCTGCGGCTGGACACGAATGGGGCTGCCCATTAACAGACACAGTCCGGGGGGATGAGATGCACACTGCAGACCCAGATGCACGGGTGCCTTATGGCACAGGCTTTAAAAAAATAAAATAAAATAAAAGTTCTCACTTTAAGACAGCCTGTCACTGTTGCCATCCTCCCACTCCATCCCACGGACTCAAGCAGAGGGTGGGGTGGTGGCTCTGCCTGCCCTAGCACTTCAGGACAAGTCAGGGAGGTTTCACCTCTTGAAGCAGCAGAGAAGAGGTTTCCCTTCCCACCTCAGGCTCCCATTCAACTTGCTTAAGAAAATAAATCCCAGCGTATCCTGCAGCAAGAGCCAGCGCTCGGCACAGCTCGCACACAGTGACCAGGCTGCGGGCAAAGCTGCGAGAGAGCAAAGCCTTTGCTGTTTAAAATGCACCTCGCTCAGGCATCCATTAGCCTCCTCTGTTTATTAGCCTGCAGTTAAATACCTGTTCCTTTTGATCACAGAGGATCGCATAAGGCTTGCTTAACTGGAAAGGACTTTCCACAAAGCCTGGAAAAAAGAGCAGAATCAAAGCACTGAGCTGGCAAGGGGGAAAAAAACCCAGCCACCTTGGAAACCCTGCAAGAACCAGCCTCACCCCCCAAAAGGATGTGTGCAACAAAACTTGAGACTTACTTCTTCCAAGCAGAGAAACCAACAGGTGAACTCCCATCTTCCTACCCTGCAGCAGCCTGGTTCAACAAAGGCAGCCTGCCCCAGACAGAGCGCACTGGCTGAATAGGTACTTAAGTAGGGTTTGCAGACAGGGAGAGGTGGGGCCAGGCTGTTGGCACACACACCGCATTTGGTTTCAGGGCCCTCCCTGCCTCTGATCCTACTAACAACACAGAAGAGCTGGAGCATATCATTAGGATCGTGGTGCCTGAGCCTTTGCATGTAGGCAGCGTACAACCATCCACCTACGGTGCTGATGGCATGGAGGATACTGCTCTTCTGCACACAGTTCTGCAGAGATGGACTCAGAAGCGAACCCCGCACCCATTCGGAAGGGGATCCCTGAAATTCATGCCCAGGATCTGCTCCAGCAGTAGTACTCAGCATCCTTCCTCCCTCCATCTCCAAACACTCTGGGCGAGCAAGAAAGGTTTGACATTGCTCCTGTTTCGCATGTTGCTGACACGTCACGTCAGCGGGAGCGACAGCAACCCGGTTGTGCCTTGCTACGACCTGCTCTTACGTGCCTGAAGGACGAGGACCGCAGTTGGCCCCTAATGCTGCAGCTCTTCCCTGCAAATGGATCTGCGTGTCCACAGAGCGCAGGTGTGCTTCTGCTCACGAGCAACAGCTGGTAGGATGGGAGCGAAGGCAAGTGTCCTGGCTTCCCACACCTCTCTCTCGCAGCTGAAAAGGGGCAACTCTTCCAGGCAGTGGAGACAGGTTTATTACACGGTATTATTTTTAAGACAATGAGATGCTCTCTCGAGTTTGCAGGTGCCAATTTGGCTCGAAATAACAGCCCCGGCTGCGAGACAGGCACTTATTTTAGACGTCTAACCTCCACCGGGGCAGGGTAGCTGGCAGACCATGAAGGGCTAAGCTCAGCTCTGCTGCTTTTGACGTCTGCCCCTAAAGAAAGATCCAGGCAGCGGTCCAAAGGAGCTACCAGCACAGGGCCAGCGAGTGTCTGACAGACATGTTTGGAGGCCCATCATATCACAGTGATGCAGCGCACCAAATAACACTGCTTCTTTCTGGAGCGCTTGCTCTTGGCTGGTCCAGACAGGGTTGGAGATGAGGACCGAGGTCCCATTCTCACCTCTGTGACCTTGGCGAGTCACTTCCACATCTGGCAAGTAGGGACAGGACTTAACCCAGCGAAAGGCTCTGTAAAGGAGCTCCGAGGGATGCCATGCAGTTTAGGAAAGGCAGGCTTCCCCTTCAGTACGACCCTTCCCAGGTTTCAGGGCAGAGCTGAAAGGGGTGCCCCCTTTTCCACCACCCCGAGACTCTCACAAGCCTTAAACCAGGATTGCTGGGGGGGGGGTTTCTAAACCTACCTGCTGGACTAGAAGCAGCTTTTTTCCTCTCCCTCAGAGAAACAACAGACCAACTCGCTAAGGCCTCCTCACCTGGTAACCAGGTAGGTAGGCGGGTCTCGCTGCAGTTTGAAGGGAGGGAGCCGGGGGGAAACCGGCTTGCCGGCCAGACAAAGGGAAGTTCAGCTCTCCCCAGTGGAGGTGGCCAGGGATCCGCTTGGCCCGGATGCTTGGCATTCCTGCCGTCCCAAACTCTCCCTTCAGCTGTTTTTTCTCTCCCACTTCATGCACTCGGGGAACTACAGTCACAACTGATTGCGTCCGTCTCAATGCCACGGACCGGACCACAGTAACAACGGTGAAGGCACACGAAGAAGGAGGAACGCCTCCAGAACAAAAGTCAGGGGAAGCCATCCTTGGACACAAACCCGTTTTTGATAACAGTCCCGGCACATCTTTAGATCCCTGCATTTCCCCCTGTTAATATCCTCTCCCTGCTCAAACCTGGGCAGCAACTTCAGGGGGATATTTCCATTGCAGGAGTACGCAGGAGCCCCCATCAGGGACCAGACCCCTCTTGTGCCAGGTGCTGTACAAAGGACACAGGATGCAAAGGGGGTCCCTGCTCCAGAGGGCTCACAACTTCTGTGCTAGATAGGAGGCAACGGGGGGACGCAAAGAAGCAATACTGAGTGCAGAGCTTAAGTCAGGCAACACGCAATCCCTGACAGAAGTCACCCCTAAACTCTCCCTGTCTAACCACCATGTTAAAATACAAATTTGCCTTGTCCCAACTAGTGACTTTTTTCAGCCTATTGTCAGACATGCTTTAATTCGTACTTATCTCAATCTAAACAGACCCACCGGTCCCAAGGGGAGAAGGAATACACACAGTGTTACTAGATGCACGCGCGCACAAAGAAGAGCTGGCTATTCCTCCTGCTCTTGTGCTGCGAGTATGAAGAGCAGGAAAGCATTGCTCAGAAAGAAGGGGAATTATTTCTCTATTGGTCTCCCCTTAAAGATTTGGGGCAAGGACCTGGCTGACAGATTTCTTGAAGCAACCGAATTTCTGATCATTTAAACACGATGAAGCAATGGGGAGTCCAATAATCCCAAACAGGAAACCAAGACTCTGGCCTGAACAGGAAGGTCCTCAGGCACTGTCTCCATCAAGACATTGGAGGTTGTTACACAAATAAATCACTGACAAAGCCAACAGGTTACCTGCCCTGCTTGTCCCACAGCCTTTTTTTCCTAGGGCTGTCACCTCTCACCAGCGCAGACTGGGAGAGAGACGTTACCAAACTGGAACGGCAGCCGCTCGCAGGCAGGGCACAGGACTGTGCAGACAGCAATGCAGCGAGAGACTCGGACCCAGCGACTCTCTGCGAACTCCCAAAGCTCTCTATTAACTTCCGACTTTATCATCCCCCCGAGTGAAGGGGCAAAGGAAAGCAATAAACAGATGCTGCGGTTCATACACTGGTAGCATGTCACAGGTGGACGGCTGCTTTGACCAGAAAGGCCCAAAGCGCATTATATAGCCGGTCACTACGACCCTCCATTTTCCAGACAGGGAAACCCCAGGAGTTTCAAAGACGTGGTGGAGGTCAGTAAGTCCGTGCTGGAGTTGTAAACCTTTTCCTCCTGCAGCCTGACGTTCCAGCCACGAGCTCAAGATGCTTCCCCGAAAGCTGCCCCGAACTCAGCGACATTTAAAAGGAGGACCAGAGCTGCACTATGCAGAGCGCTAAAAGCCGATACCAGGCAGCAGCTTAGGAAGGGAGGGAGCAGTAGGAGCATTGTCAGCAGCTGGGTTTCCATCGAGAACGGCACTTAGGTTTCCAGCTTCTGGAGCATCGCTTTATGACTGTTATTAATTCCCCGCGCTCCCAAAGTCCTCTGGAATAAAGAGTGGGAGAGAGCACAAGAGCGAGCGCTTAAGGAAGGCCTGTTCATACAGTGCCAGATCCCTTCACAGCTATCAGTGTCCATTCACTGCAGCTGAATGTGAAAGGCACCATGGAGAATAGCTCTGGCAGGCTTGTGCGGGATGAAATGGAAAACTCACCTGACCTCCTCTGACCCCCCCCTTCCCCTCCCAAATCTCCCTGACCCCTTTCAAAGTGTGTGTGGGGGGGAGGGAGTGGTCCTTGAAGAGTGGATGCAGGGAGCTGCAATGTATTTAACCTTTCTGAATGAACTCTGCATTTCCTTTGAGCTGGGGCTCCATTATATCAGCCTCTCCAGCTCAGTCCAAGGACGGAGAAGCACTCACCGCTGGAAATCCCTTCAACGCCAAACACCAGGACCCAGGGAGGTTCTACCTCAATTCGCCCACCAGCCAGCAGCTGACCCGAGAGCAGAGCACAGCACAGAGCCTGGAGGGGATAATCCCGTGAGCATGCTTGCTGCCACAGCCTGGGAGGCACTGGAAGGGGTCTTAGATGTGATCTGACCAAGAAGTGCTCTCATACCTCGTGCCGCGGCCGTAACCTCTTCCTTCTTCGCTTGCAGCAACACTGAGAAGCCTCAAGCACGTCCATGCCCCTGCTGTGTTAGCTGCCATGCAAAAGCACAGGAAGAGCCCCTACCCAAAGAGCTGGCAACCCAGACAGACAACGTTCCCCTTTGCAGACGGGAAGGAAAAGCAAAGAGAAAAAGAGAGAGGTTAGCAAATGCTCAGCAACTCCAGCCAGTGGCCACTTTCCAACGAGTCCAGGCGTCTACCTGCATCCATCCTGCCGAGCTGGCGTGAAAACCCAGCTCCCAGTGACTCGCCCAAGCTCTGCTGAGTTTTAATCCACAAGGCTGTCCTCAGCCAACACGCTGCCGTCTTCTACTGCAACCAAGACCCCCTTGCCAGGTCCCTTTGCCCTGATACTGCATCCAAACTTTCAGTGGGCGCCTTAGCTCGTCCTGGGCTGTTTCACTCTCGTCAGTGCTGTAAATTCTGCCCCGGCCTCACGGGGCAGCTCTGTTTGGCTCTTATTTTGGTCTCCCCCCTTGCACGGACTGTCCCATACTTCAAATGATATCTTTCAGCTTCCCAACTCATTGTCACTTGTCCCCTGGGAATCCCATCCTCAGCCCCATTCTTTCAACAAGCTTCTCCTTGCGCTGGCTCCCGTGTAGCTCCATCTCATTTACAACCGCAAGAGGCTACAGAGCCGTGTCTGCCCCCGCAGGGATGGGGCTACGGGACAGGAAGTGCCCAGAAGTAAAAATAAACTCCTGAATCTAATCTCAGTGCAGGCCGCTGGTTACTTATACGGAATAATAAGGAACAGCCATTAATTATGGCACGGCTACAACATCCCATCGTTACAGGATGTGTGAGCACCACTGGGATGCCACCTCAGATACCCTTTCAGTGTTGGCTGAAGAGTAGCTTCATGAAGGGGCAATTTAGGCCCCATCTTTTTGACAGGATTAAGCAGCTCCCCCCTCCACCAAAATCTGCATGCGTGTTGGTGTGCAGGTGCGTGGCGAGGGGCGCACAGGTTATTAACAGCCAACAGCTGTTTTGAGCGTGTACACCGGGCTGCCGCTGGATGCAGGTAGATCGTTTCAGCGCCATTCAAAGCCTATTAGCCATTACAACATGTTTTTGGGAGCACTTGCACTGGAATGGTAGGATGGGGTCTAAAAGCAGGACGCAAGCACAGATGCACCACACAGGGCAGGGTGGGCAGAGCAGCACTTTATTCCTACATCATTCCCTCCACCTTTGAAAAGCACATTGTTGGACCTAATGAGAGCCAACAAACCAGCTTTGCCCAATGGGGAAGCCAAGGCACGGGTCGGGAGAGCGGCTTGCTGCGTCAGCAGTGGAAGAAAAGAGCATCGTAGAAGATTAGGGTGGAAGAGCCCTCGGGAGCTCGCACAGGACTGTGACCGTCGCCCCTGTCTGGACCATCCCAACCGAGCACGTGCTTAAAAACTTCCAAGGATGGAGATGCCACCACTCCTGCCGGCAGCATGTTATGCACAGCTGTTAGCACCTGTGGTACAAAGGACGGTACGTAGCTTCTCTACGGAGCCCAGGGGATGGGGCCAAGCTGACCTGACCCAGTCTGCTCCTTTCAGCCTCAGCCAGGCCGGGTCACCTGGCGAGCATCTGTCGCCAGGTGAGAAACAATAACCAAGCCAA